GGAGCAAGGGATTCTAACTAGAAAGGTGGCGACAAAAGAGATGATGGCAGAGGCGATGGCATAGAGAGATAGAGCAGCAGTGGGCTATAGGCCCATGGACTGAGAAAGGCAGTGTGCCTGCAGATAGGAGGCTGGATTGCAAAATGTGCCCTTCGGACAGTTAATCGAATGTACATATTTGCAATGTGGTATGCATACATTAAAAAATAAGGATATAGAGGTAATACTGTTAGCTGGGGGTGCATGGAGGGGCTTGTAATCATTACAATGATTTGGTGAACATAAAACTGATGATCTGCCCTGCAAACCTTCACTCACTCAATACACAATAAAAGCTTTAAGGGAAAAAAAAACCCCACAAAAACACCATACAGGAAGAAAGCAAAAGGTCATTAAAAAGACAGGAAAGGCCAAAATGGATGTCAGATGGGACTCTGAAACTTGCTATCAAGCAATAAAATGCTAAACCAAATTGAAAATATTAAGAAGTAAAAGATGAACAGAAATTTTCAAAGGGCAGCTTAAGAAAACAGAATTATAATGAAATGTGCAAAGACCTGCAATTAGAAAACCAAAAGGGAAGAACATGCTCAGCTATTCTCAAGTTCAAAGAACCAAAGAAAAAATTCAAGCCTCGACTGAAATACTGAAGGATTCCATGGGTAATACATTGAATGATACAGAAAGCAGATGGAAAGACTACACAGAGTCACTGTAACAAAAAGAAATGGTCTGTGCTCAAACATTTCAGAGGTAGCATAAGATCAAGAATTGGTGGCACTGAAGGAAGAAGTCGAATTGGCACAAAAAACCCCCAAAGTTTCCTGGAATTGATGAGATGCAACTGAAATCAACTAACTTACATAGCACTAGAGGCTCTCATTCATCTGTGCCAAAAAACTCTGAAGAAAACTACCTGGCCAATCAACTGGAAGAGATCCACATTTGTGATTATCCCAAAGAGAGGTAGGTGATCCAATGTAATGTAGAAACCAAGTATCACTGATATCACATGCAAGTAAAATTTTGCTGAAGATTATTCAAAAACGGCAGCAGCAGTAGAGTGACAGGGAGCTGCCAGTGGTTCAGGCTTGATTCAGACAGGGATGTGGAACAAGGGATATCATTGCTTATGTCAGATTCATATGGATCTTGGCTGAAAGCAAAAAGAATAGCAGAAAGATGCTTGTGTTTTGATGATTATGCAAAAGCTTTCAACTGTACGGATCATGACACGCAATGGACAACACTGCGGAGAATGAGTATTCTGGAACACTTGACTGTACTCATGTGGAACCTGGACATAGAGCAAGAGGTAGTGGTTCAAACAGAATCGTTTACAAACAAGAAAGAGCTGAGCCAGGACTTTCACCATGCTTATTCTATCTATATATCCTGAGCAAATAATCTGAGAAGCTGGACTATATGAAGATGAGTGCGGCATCAGGACTGGGGGAAGACTCATTAACAACATACGATATGCAGATGATAAACCTTCTTGCTGAAATCAAAGAAAACTCAAAATACTTACTGATAAGATCAAACACTACAGCCTTCAGTATGGACTGCATCTCAATGTAAAGAAAACAAAAATCCTCAAAACAGGACCAATAAATAACATCATGCTAAGTGGAGAAAAGACTGAAGATGGCAAAGACTATTTTGCTTGAATCCACAATTAACACTCATAGAAGCAGCAGTCAAGAAATCAAAGGACATGTATTGCATTAGGCAAATCTGCTGAGCAAGACCTCTTTAAAGTGTTCAAGAGCAAAGATAACAACAGTCTGAGGACTAAGGCGGATTTCACCGAAGCCATGGTATTTTCAACTGCCTCGTGTTCATGTGAAAGTTGGACCTGAATAAGGAAGACTGCAGAAGAACTGATGCATCTGAGTTATGGTGTTGGAATAAGTACAGGCAGAATGCTCCTTAGAAGCCAGCATGGCAAGACTTCATCTCTTATACTTCAGACATATTATCAGGAGGGACCAGTCAGTCCCTGAGGAGGGACACCATGCTTGGTAAAGTGGACAGTCAGCCAAAAACAAAAAGAGAAAAAGGAAGACCTGCACTGGAATGGCACAGTGACAGCTGCAATGGGCTCAAGCACAGAAACAATTGTGAAGATGGTGCAGGGCAGAACAGTGTTTCGTTCTGTTGTTCACAGGTTACTGTGAGTTGAAAGTGATGTAACAGCACCTCCCAAAGTTTATGTGGTTCATTTCCCATTATGGCTACATAACAGTCCACTCTAAGAATAGAACGCAAACCAAACCCACTGCCACGGGGTCAATTCCAACTCATAGTAGCCCGACAGAATAGAGCAGAACTGCCTGGGAGGACTTCCAGAACTGTCGGCCTTTACAGAAGCAGACTGCCACAGCTTTCTGCCGTGGAGCAACTGGTGGGCTCACACCACAGGCCTTTTGGTAAGCAGCCCAATATTTAATTCAGGGCTCCTTCTGTATGACTACGTTATTGTTGGTAAGTACCACTGAGTTCATTCTGACTCATAGCTAGTGCTTATCCTACAGTGCCACACCATGTATGACTATGTTGTGGTGGTGGTGGTGAAATGCTGTCGAGTCAGTTCTGACTCACCGCAACCCTCTATAGGGTTTCTGAAAAACAGCTGGTAGATTTGAACTGCTGACCTCACAGTTTGAGCTGACCGTGCAGCCCACTGCTTATCCTACAGTGTCAATACCAGGACTCCTGTATTTATTTCTCCATTCTACTGTCCATGGACATGTGGACCAATTTTAGCTTTTACTATCATAAACAGTGCTACAGCAAACACCTCTGAACATTTGTTTCTGGGCCCATGAGGTCGTCTTTTTCATGACACAACATACAATTTACCAGCAAATCTTGTTAAGTCTGCCTTCAACACATATGTAAAGTTTGGCCATGTCTCACCTCTATCACTGATGTTTCACTACTACCAGATTCCTGGTGTGGCGCTGCAAGATCAGTACTGAGATGTGAACCACAAAGTTAGCACAGTTCAAACCCACCAGCTGTTCCTCAGAAACACTACACAGCATCACTTTGAGTCGGAACAGACTTGACGGCACGTAATAACAACCACCACCACTGCTACCACCTCCCTAGCTGATTCACCTCACCTGGGTCACTACAAGTGCCACCTAGTTGTCCGTGGTGCCGAGCCTTGCTGGCCACTGGCCTTCTGTCTTCAACTCAGTGATTAGTCTTACGGTGTCAATTCTTTGCTCAAACCCCAATAGCGTCTCATCAAAAAGTAAAAGCCAAAGTCTTTACCATGGCCTGTCAGGCTCTGTATAGTACGGACCTGGGGTTTCTTGGTGCTGCAAACAGTGGACACCTGCTACTAGCAGACTGCTCAGAGGCCTCATGATGCTCAGAGAAGCATCAGAAGACAGAGCTGGTGCTCTACTTCCTGCCCCCCCTCCCCAAAAGACAAACCCTGTGGAGCACAGTCCTATAACATATGTGGGGCTGCCAGGAGTCCCAATGACTCAACAGCAACTGGGTTTTCTGCGCTGTGTTTTGTTTAAATCTGAGCCCAGCTACTTTTTTGAACACAGCTCCCACTTTCCCCTCCAGGTGTCTGCTCCACACCTGCTGCTGCCTCAGGCCTTTTAACTCACGATCCCCTCTGCACATATGTGAAACATGCAATTATCTTTCTAGTCAAGAAAGTATACTAAATGTTCTTTCATGTAAACTATCACACTATCACATAATTCATAATAAAACAGTTTAAAAAAAAAAAAGTATACTATACAAAATCACAGCCAAATGGGTAAATTTCTAAAACAACCAGAAAAAAAATATTCAAAAGTTTAGTATCATTTGCCCATTCACAATCTCATTTTGAATAAACTTTCATTCTACTGTATTTGAAAGAAAACAGTTGGCCCAATTCCTTTCAAGCACTACCTAAACTAGTAACATAATGAAGAAATATATAGACTTGAGGTTCACTATGAGCCACAAGGTCAGCAGTTCAAGCTTACCAGCTGCTCCTCAGAAACCCTATACAGGGTCACTACGGGTCGGAACTGACTCAATGGCACTTAACAACAACAAGATATTAGAAACGTAAGATTTAATTAAGCTACACTTATATACTTTCTACTTAAACACACACACAAGAACTTTGGAAATAAAGTACAACATGGAAACCTGGGATTCGTTCAATGCTTAGAATTGAGCGAGCCTTTCCATTTCTTTAATACGTCAGATTTATCTTTCCAGGTTGAACATTCTCAAATGCCGATGTTCCTCCCAAAGCCCGTCACACACTGGTGTGTTACCCGGCTTCCTGGGGACACCTGCTAGAGCGCTGCCCCTCAGCTCTGTAGCGCTCATCACACTATTCTCCATCCTCAACAACCGGCTGACTCTGCTTACCTATTTTTATCATGACGTCTACTACAAAGTTATGTTCTGTCAAATGAGCCTACAATTCAAGAAGCACTGTACATTTTCGCATTTGTACTATGATGCCCCACCCCCAACTATTCTTTGTATCCAAGTGTTTTTATTTTCCTTTGCTTATTTCCAATGACAAGCACATTTTTTAATTGTGCCTCTTCCTCTCCAAGCTGCCGAGCACTCTGAGTCTACCTGTTTTACTTACTGAGGAATGTTTCCACTTCAGCAATCAGATTCAAACTATTCTTGTTTGATTTATTGACACAAGGCAACATCTAAAGTCTAACAAAGGCAAACGATAAAGTATGGACTCCTGTTTAAGCCACGAGCCCCCAAATTCTTGGACAGAGAGAGGATAATTAAGTCTGAAGAATTAGTGTTTAAAAAGATCACAGTGCTTTAGAACCAGTATTCAAGATATTGTATCAGGGAGTTTGATTTTCTTTTCAACAGCAATTTCTACTCATGCTGAAATTGTTCTCATAATAATTCTGATACTGTTTCCTTAGCTGCCTTATAATAAAATTGAAAAAATGGCTGCTAGAAAACTAAAGCGCAGACTTATATAAGGATACAGCCATGAAGCACAGGAAGAGCAAACCGGTGAACCTGAAACAAAAATACAGTACTTTTAGGAATAAGCATACTTTAAAAAACAACTAAATAAAGATAAGTACCACATAAAAAGTACACTTAGACATGGGGAGGTAACATGCAAAACAGCCCAGTAGTGAGTGTAGGAGTCCTGGTGTGGCCCTATAGGATAAGCGCTTGACCACAGGTCGATTTGAACTGCAAGATCAAACTCAACAGCTGCTCCTTGGAAACCCTAAATAGGGGCATTATGGGTTGGAACTGACTCAATGGCACTTAGCAACACAACCACAAGCTTATGGGTAACTTTTAACTTCTGTCAGAAGTAATTTCTCACATATCTTTTTAATTAAAATAACTTAAAGCACATATCACAATTATTTGGGTTTGACAATTCAGCTATGGGGACACTAATAAACTTTGTGAAGTTGGAGAATGCTTCCCTCCCTCCTTTTCAGTCTCTGGTGGTAACAGCTTCATTTGTCCAGGGAAAAAACATACCAAGGCTAACTGTTTGCAGATCAAACTACTTTTCCCAAAAAAGCAAAACAAATGAGAACAAAGCAATTCAGCAAATCTACCAAGTCCAAGGAGGAGAAAGATAAGGCTTTCTACTCCCGCAAAATATTTAAAGCCTAAGAAAACCTATACAGGTTTGCTACCAACCACCGCCTAGGTTCAAAACGCTGTTTCCCTAGCTGTGACTCTTACACCAAGTTAGTGGAAGCAATGGGCAGCGGAAGCCGAGGTCTCTGCAGGACTCCTCTCCCCGGGGCTGGTAGGAATCACACCCCCCACAGAAAGACCAATGCAGAGCTCTGGACTGGAGTTAGCCTGGAGACTTGACTCTGGCACCTCATTTCTCCATCCTTCATCCCCTGGGATAAAGTCTGTGTCTGACTTATGAAAAGCAAATGCATTGTTTTCTAACATTTCTATGAAGGCAGATTAAATAATTAGGCTTCCTCAACCTAGAATGATGGAGGATATATCTGGTCAAAGTTTCTAAGTCATAAATAAAGTGAAAGTAGATTTATTTACCAAAATCCCTGATGATTATGTAATCATTCAAGTATTGCGTTGAATTAAAACTTGGCTGCAATTAACAAAGAGATTTTGTTGAATTATACCTCACCTCTGGCTGAGCAGAAAGTTCTCTCAGAAGATGGCCGTTCCACACAAACCTCTGATCTGCCTAAGAGAGAAATTTTAAATGATTAAAATACAGGCATGTCTCATTTCATTACTTCATTTTACTGTTTGTTTTTTCCACAAACTGAGGGTTTATGGCAAGCCTACATTAAGCCAATCTACTGGCACCATATTTTTCCAAAAGCATGTGCTCACTTGTGTCTCTGTGCCACATTTTGGTAATCCTCGTAGTATTTCACAGTTTTTCATAATGTGAATGCACTTAATGGGATACAGTATCATGTAAACATGACTTTTTATGCACTGGCAAACCAAAACACTCATGTGACTTGCTTTATGATATCAACTTTCTTGCGGTGGTCTGGAACCAAACCCACAATACCCAGGCATGAGTATTACTGTCTGCCAGGTCAATCTCCAGAAAGAAAAATACAGTCATCAATGTCTCCGCCTGGTGACTACATCTCTATGGCCTGCTCCAAACAGAACTCATCTTCCCATACGCCTTCTTTCTCTCCTTTGAGTTCACTGCCTCAGGCCATTGCACTGCCCCAAACACAGACCTGGGGATCTTTCCAGGGTCTTCGTTCCCTTACTTAGTTAACCCTGAAGTCCTGAATCCCATTCAAAATCCATCTCTTCTTCTATATGCCTACTCCAACCACACCTGCCTCTGGTCTGAGGACTACGGCAGCTTCCCGCACCTCATGTCCTGGCCTTCCCACTTCATTCCTTCATAGCCGCCAAGCAGGAGCTCTCTACTGCCTTGTCTTCTATATGCTCTAAAGTGTTCGCCTGCCCTAGCCAGTCCTGGCCTCTGGCAGCCCTATTTAACTCTGACCTCACCTCTGGGCACTGGGACTTTCAAACTGTAAATACAGTGGAGGCTCCCTCAGCTAGTCTCTACATAACCACACCTCTCCAATTCCTCTGTAAAGTCACCTCCTCAGCCCACCATAGCTGGAAATCTCACAGGGAATGATTCCTGGACTTGGGCTATCACCAGATGAGAGGTTCACGCGCCAAGACTGAGATGTGTGAGTCCAGGCTGTGCCAGTCAAGTTGTTATTCATCATTACCTAACTTAGCTATCTTGTACACCAGTGAAATACCACTGAAAAGGAATTGCAGTGTCTACGACACTGAATGCTTTGGGAAAAAACACTGTTAAATTTGGAGTGGGAGTGGCAAGTGTGAAAGACGAGAGAAACATAGTAAAAAGTCTACAGGATTCGACACATAGATTGCTTCTGTGTAAGTATGAGAGTCTTTAGAAAGACCCAAACTGGAAAACAGTATGGGTATTAATTTACACAGAAAAAAATAACTAGACAATAACAACAACAAAATAATGGGGCCTTAATTAAAAAAGAAAAAACGGACCACTGAATCAAAAATATTAAAAGTATGTATGCTTCAAGTACCACTTTCGTGACCCTTATTTTAACAGACTTCTTTGATTAGCAGACAACTTCCCATCCCAGCACATATGACAGCTTCTCTGGTAGTTTGGCTTAATACTGTCAGAGACCTGCCTAGAATCCTCTAAGCTCGCCAACTGTCACATGGCCAACAAGCCCTAGTCACTGACAAGTGCCAGATCACAAGTTCTTTGCTTTGTAAAGCTGCTCACAGCTCTCCCAGGCAGAGCGAAACCACCTCCTTTAGGAATCCCACCACACTTAGGGACCCATCTCTGATACACTGATCATCCTGCTTTGTGACTGTTTGGACATTAGTCTCCCACATCTGAGAGAAGTTTGCTAAAGAAATGGAGAACACAGCAACTGCTTTTAAAAACAAGTCTCTTTGTTGTTAAGAGTCAATTTCTTGATTCCTTAGGCAAACTTGCAATTAATGTTACATAGAATTTGACTAGATTACAAAATCTTACCCTGAAGAGCCAGTCAATTAAAATAATGACTTAGGTTGAATTATACGAAATATCGTTTTCATCAGTAAAAAATGGTCAGTTACAAACAGTATCACATGGTTCAACCTAACAGGTAACTGACAGCTATTCTGTCTGTACCCTAAAATCATCCAAGGTTTGTTAAGAAAAAGAAAAATCAAAACAGCAATTATTCAGAGTTGGAAGAGCAGAAACTTTATGTTGAGATTATTTGAAGCCTGGTTTTAAAAGATGCACCTTAAAAATAAATCAAGAAAAAACCCTTAACCAAAAATTTTCAAGTTCTGTAATCAATAAATTATAGCTTTTCTAACTGTAAAAAAATATATATAAATATAAACACAGTGCAGAAGGAGTATCATCTATCTTGTTATAAAACTAGCAAGATGCTCATTTTATAATGCTAGTGGAAATGTTCTATGTACTAGGACACTGAGAACTAAGAAACTAGAAATGAATGCAATGCTGCTCTGAAGATTTGACACCTGAGAGCTACTGAAAAATAACCTCTGAAGGGCTCTGTCGAATTGCCTAACTGTGTTTACACTGAATTTCTCCATACCCAGGCCAGAGGGTCTCAATCCTGGCTGTGTAACAGAAACTGATTCGGAGGCCCTGAGTGTGGGACTATGATATCTGTGGTGTACATGACACATGGTACATTTTCAGATAAACCTGATATAGCCAGGGTTGAGAATAACCAATATATAAATTTTAATGGATGAAATAGAAACATGCCTTTTAAGGATTAAAAAAAAAAATAGTATATGAAAATAACCAAAGCGCAAACTTACCCTTTCCAAAAGACTCATTTCTTGGAATTCTGGACTAGTGTTGGACAGCCGTTGCAATGTATGGGTCAAATCATATGTTGTTGAAAAGTAAAACCCATCCACATTCAAGACATGGTTTAACATTGCTAGGAAAGTTTTATTATCTTGTAACTGTAAATAAAGGGGGAGACATAATATATGGAAAACTTGAAAGGAAATCTGTTAATATGAGAAAAGAATGAAAGTAAGAATGTAGCAGTGTGGCCCCATCAATTCTCACTGACACAGGACTGGACTAGAGGTGGCAGTGTACTCACAGTCATGAGCCCGGGTCCTACCACAGTTCCTCACACGTGGAAAATGTTCTGCCAATGCAGCCAGGGGCTCATTATCTGAATTATGTAAGGTTCCTTCCCTCTTGTATCCCTCACAATTTTTCCTCTACAGGGCAGAAGAGTTATCACCCTGGTTTATGACCTCTTATCTGCTTCATGTTTTTCATCGATTCTCTTTGATCTTCAATCTTCACAACAATCCTGCTAGGTTAGCACAATTATCACCATTTGACAAATGAAATACCTAAGTTCATGAGGGACCTAGTAACACAACAGATAGCAAGAGAATGTCATCCTCATTCTTCACTGGTTTGGGCTGGATAGAAGTAAAATGGAATTCTTTTTCTTTAAGACTAAGATTAAAAAGTATGTCCAGTAAAAGCCAATTTATCTTTATAGACACATCTAATAATCATTTTAACTAGCGTTCCCAATAAATACCAAAATTGACATTTGTATTTAATACTTGTTTTAAAAAATATATTGTTAATGTATGGTAGTGTCATTACCATGTACTACAAAATTTTTTATTTAGGTTCAAGTCTCCCCCCGCCCCGTTAAATCAAAGGCACACACAAAGCATCTGTAATAAGCAATGCTAAAGCTAGCTGTATGTACTGACAACAAAGTCCAAGGAGGCTTCAGAAAGCTCATGGAAAAATTCCATTGTCTTTTAATTTCACTTTTCCATGAACTTTCCGAAACACCCTCAAATAGCAATGAAGAAAAAATTATCCAAGTAAATACTACTGGGCTATTAAATAAGCAATTTTATTTCCTTAAAATGTCGATTCTCTTAGAGAACTGGTATAAATCCTTAATCTTTCATTGATATATGCTATAAAAATAAGTTTTAACTTTAAAATATAAGAAGCACATCCTACAGTTTTACTTAGTTTTTAAAAGTACTTAGCATACGTTACATGTTTCAGTATAGTAATTTTTCTTTTACAAACACACATTTTGCAATCTTGAGAGTGAAATATAGCTTAAAAATTTAGAAAGCAAACCCGGTTATATAAAATCTCATTTAGAAAACAAACTCTGAACAGGTGTAATTTCTAAATATCTGTTGACTTAACAAAACAAGTTTCAAAACCAGAACAGGGTAATGCCACGCATGTTCAGTTTTTCACAACAGCTCAATGATAAATACTGCTTGACTATGAATACAGCCCGTTTTCAACTTAGCACAAATAGGCAGACCCATTACAATGGCCTTGAAACAAGCTATCTTAATAATGCATCAGAAAAATCACAATTGTCCTCTGATCTTAAAATTTTTCATTAAAACAATTACTGTAAGTTACAGTTGTATGGAGAAATTTAACACAAGTAAAACCAGTATTAGTACACTCTAGCTTAAGACATTAGAAACATTGAGAATCAAAAGTATTTTCCTTGGGAAACCTCTTTACCAACAGTAGTCTGAACAGTAATGGCTGCCTCCTACACATCATGTAACTAGCAATACACAACAGAGACATTTTCCCTGCCTTGGCGAAACATCCTACTCCTTTCTAAGTTTGGATCAGCTTCCAACATTTTATCCTTTGTGTATTCAATGTCTTGAAACATGCTGAGTCCCATCACTGTGAAGTTTCTGCGGACATTACTTCCTCTTCACCCTTCCCCGTCACCACCACTGTGTTCCTTAGTGCTGTAAGTTCACCTTTACTAGAACCGCTGGCTGCATATTTACAACCTGGCCAGCAGTCCCACATTCCCTTCTTTCTCCTAGAATTCTATTTACATTCATTTCCATTTTCACTTCCAGCATTATCACTCTCATTTCCTTGCTGCTCTTTAATCTTTGGTGGATTTACCTTGCCTGTTGTGGCTCTGTGGGTTAATTCGCCAGACCGCAAAGCCATTTGAACTGCAACATCGGCAGTTCAAGCTCACCAGCTGCTCCTAGGAAACCCTAATACAGGGTTGCTATGGGTCAGAATCGACTTGATGGCATTTAACAACAACAACAACAACAATTTACGGTGGTAACTGGAATTTGAACTGTGTTGTTGAGGGACTGGAGTTACTTATCTAAGCCCTGGGTGGTGTAACTGAAATCCGTGCGTATAGGAATTATGCAAAAGGCAGACTGTCTGAACATATACATGAACATACACAAACAAAATACTTTTCTCTGAGAAAAGAGGGGATGAAATGTGATGAGTGGAATTTCAAATGTATCTAGTATTTTATTTCTTTCAAACAGGTCATACATGAAGTTAAATCTAGGTAATGAGCAGGCACTTTCTGTTTATACTTACCGTATGAGGCTTCGTATTTTAGGAATTTGTGTTATTTTTTTTTTTTTTAAATGAAGAGCAATAAAAACGCCAGGACTCCAAGTGGAATGCTGCTGTCTTTTAAATACCAGTCCTACTCTCCCTACATGGTACCTCTTTGGGTTCTGCAATTAGTAACTACTTACATTTCTTACCTGAATATCAGTTAAGTGCAACATTGTCTTCTTATAAGAAAGGATATCAAAATCTGTTGCTTTCCAGATTGCATGATTGAAAAATTCACCTACTTTTGTCTTTTTGGTAATGACAATAAGATAGTTACCTGCAAACAGTAAAGACAAACACATAAATGTAAAAACACAGCTCTAAAGCCAAAAGTAATTGTCTTCACTGTTGAAACTTTAAAGGCTAGCCAAGCAAATCTGTGCTGTGCTACATAAGTAAAAGACTAATGCTTTTTTGTTTTGGCATCTTGTATTTATAAACAGAAAGACTAAACACTATTCAGAAAAAAATTTACTGAAAGATTTAAGTTTTCCTCGGCGGGGGCAGGGGTGGAAGCAAACACTGTTGATAATCAAATTAGTCATCTTAGCAGATGCAAAGTAGAAACAGAGAACACTTATTCTCTCCTGCTGCCAAGACATACAGCCTTTGCTGATCACCGCAGAGCAAAGTCCCATCTGCACCGGTCATTCTAAATGGTAGGGAAGTATGCTGGGAAAGTGTAAGTAAGTGCTTACAGCAACATTACAGGATGAGGGACTAGGTAGGAGTCAAGAAGTCATACAGCACAATGCACAATATGCCAACCCTGGTCCTGGCCACTTCCTACTTCTGCAAGTAAGAGGGGACCCCTTCCACTTACTCAATCCCTAGGTTCTGTTCAGGAGTCCTGACGCAGGGCTGGGGACTGCAAAGTCGGTTTGAACTGCAAGTTTGGTGGTTCAAGCTCACCAGCCACTCCTCAGAAACCCTCCACAGGGTTGCTGTGAGTCAGAACTGACTAGACAGCACTTAACCACAAGTACAAGCTCTGTTCAATGTTGTATCCACAAGCGCCCTCCCAGCTTTCCTGTGCACCTCTCCTAGAAGCTACACTGCACTGCAGGAACATACTATTTACATGCCTCTCTCGGTAGACTGTAAGCTATAGGGCAGAAGGGACTTTTACCTTTACAACTTAGCATTATTACATTACAACAGCGTCTGACTTAACCTAGAGAGTTACTGTGTAAAGCATGATATGAAGTATACCTGTCTTACATTCTAATATTGTCAACTCACTTTCCTTTATCCTCTTTGCTTATTTTGTCTTACCTGCCACCAGATGGATTGTGCCCAAAATACCAAATATTGGTCTTGTGACAGCCGAAGGAGGAACATCTTTCTTGACTTAAAAAAAAATGAAAACAAAAAGAAAAATCTGAGACAAAAAGGCCAACAGATATGGAAATTTTGTTTCATTTTAATAATTATTTCAATTAATCAATTTATCTGATGTGATCTAGGAAGGCAGTATCCCTTCATTTGTGCCCAATCTCAACTTTGGCAAAAGAGAATGTTAATGCCCACAGAAGGCTAAACGCCAAGGCCTCTGCCCGTCTAGAACCTGGCACCAAAAGTTATGAAACTCAGGATCCTTATCAAGTCAAATGTAGGCTATTTCTAGTGGTAATTTTCAAACGGATTTATTCAGCTTATTGCCAGAAAGTAATTACCTATCCCCCCTCTAAAAGAACTAGAAAATAAAGCGAAGATCTGAGATGAGGTTTTATTTTTTTTTGGAGGAGAAAATTTTATTTTTAAAACGCACATCTGTCTTAACATATACTGAGGGGAAGGGTACAGAACTTGGATGAGTAAAGTGTCTCTGAGGCAGTGAGTTCAAGTCTCGTCTGTGTCTGGTCCCTGTAACCCCATGACCCCCGCTCAGCCCCAGCAGTGCCATCGGCCCGCATGCATCCTTCACGTGTTCCGAGTTTCAGTAGCTGACGAGCTCCTCCTGGTGTGAAGGGTGCAGACTACGAAACACTTGGATTTTTTGGATTATACTTCTGTAGGCTAGCGTGGCTGGCAAGTTTGGGGCTTCCATCATAAAAGATTGTCCTTTGTCACAACTCTTCCCTATTTGTGGATCCAGAGGCACTCTGCCAAGAAGGGGTATCTTCAGGGCCTGGCACATGAGCTTGATGCCTCCAGTCGTCCGAGGGAAAGTCTGTGATTCTTTCTCACACTTGCAGACAAAGCCACTTATGTTCTCCACCACCCCGTTGATGGGAAGCTTCACCTTGTGGCAGAAGCTGATTTCTTTGTGGACATCCTGCAATGACACTTCCTGGGGGGTGGTCACTATCACAGCTCCATCAATGCGTGCCGCCGAGAGGTACTGGACGACCGAGAGGTGCTAGTCGGACATCCCAAGCATAGTGTCCACGATGAAGTAGTCCACACCACGGCATCATCGGGGCTTTTGAGCAAGAAACCCACCGACATCACACCCAAGTGGTCGTCCACATACACAGTAGACCAGCCCGAGCCACTCTGGTGAACCTGTTTCTCCTTCCAATCATATTATCTTGGGAATTATGGCCCACATATATCAGTGTCTAGAAGAGCAATCTGTGTGTTTTCATCCTCTGCCAGGCCATGTGTGAGGTGTGTACTGAACGTGTTCTTCCCGACGCCACCTTTCCCAGACAGCACCAAGATTTTGTGTTTCATGTTTTTCATTTTCTCTTTGATTTCCTCTAAGGCCGGGTCTGGAGGCGCACAGGCTCCGGAAACGCACAGCCGCTGGTTAGGGCATCTCTGACATGAGGTCCCTCGGCCCGCTTGGGTGCTGCTGCCAGTCCCGGGACAGCCCTGAGGCACCCCTGAGATGAGATTTTAATGTCAACATGCAACTAATAGAATGTAAACAAAGAACAAGTCTAAAGCTGACTTGCCCAATCATGTGTAAGAATGTGGGAAACAGAGGCAAAGAGCCAAGAGGAGGAAGAGGAGGGAAAAGTCGCCTAACAACAAATTTGTAACACTGAAATTTACAACAGCAAAATGTTTAAACACTGAAAACAGGGAAACTGATTCTCTCTGGTTCCCTATTTCCAGTGTTGTAGGTTTCTTTTACTTTGAATACTTCTGTGTCTGGGCTGACGGCACCCTAGTGCGGCATTATAAGATAAGCAAAGGATTACTAATGACAAGGTCAGCGGTTCAAAGTCACCAGTCACTCCTCAGAAACTTTGTTATTGTTAAGTGCCACTGAGTTGGAGTCAAATCACAGAGACCCTGCATAGGGTTTCCAAGTTGGTGCTGTAAGTTTGAACCCATGAACTCTAGTTCACAGCCCAGCGCTGATCCTACAGTGCCATCCAGGATTCCTATACACTTTATGAATGGAACTGACTCCCTGGCACCCAACAAGGTTGAGTTCTCGGTGATACAGTCACGGATGTTAGTCTTAGGTTTTGTCAGCTGCTGCTGATTCTATATCCAAAGAACATCCTTTAGTATTTTTTGTATGGGTGTTTTGCTGTTTGCAAATTCTTTTAATTTGTGTACTTGGAAATGTCTTAATTTTAACATCATATTGGATGGACAATTTTGCTGAGTAAATGATTCTCAGTTGGCAGGTTCTTTCTTTCAGAATTTAAAATATGTCATTCTACTGTCTTCTTGCCTGCATGGCTTCTAATACGAAATCAGAGCTTATCGCTTAGTCTTATTTATGTTCTCCTTTATAGTAACTTTTTGTTTTTCTCAAGCTGCTCTCAGGATTCCTTTCTGTCTTTGGTTTTGAACAGTTTGATTACATCTTGGTGATTTTCTTTTGGGGTCTATTCTGTTTTGGAGTTCTTTTAACTTCTTTAATGGGTATCTTCTGAGCTTCATGATGTTAGAGAAGTTTTCTTTTAGCAACTCAACAATTTTCTCTGCTTTTTATTGTCTCTTTCTGTTCTGGAATTCCAATTACTCGTAAATTATTCCTCTTACTAGTATTCCACATAATCTTAAGCTTTCTTCAGATTTTTTCATCCTTTTTTCTGATTGTTCCCCTAGCCGATGAATTTGTCTTCATGCTCACAAATTCAGTCTTTTCATTGATTCGATTCTACTTCTTTGCCCTTTAATGTACTGTTTCTGAATTCTTAGTAATAATCTTGGCTTTCTGTTGTTTTTATATGGTTCCTATTTTTTCATTTCTTTTGTCAGTTTGTTCCTTATAGTGTTATCCTACTTTCTTACAATTTTTTTTCTGTGTTCTCCTTGGTTTCCTCAATCTTTCTCTCAATCCATTGAAGTAACCTAAGTAACATTCTTTTAAATTCCTTATCAAGTAGTTCTGATACCATTTCTGGTACTGTATTTTCAGACTCTGTGTTTTGGTCACCTGGCTAATGCACTCCTCTTGTTTTCTTCATGTAAACTGAACTTTTCTCTGAGACAGTGTGGTGTCCTTGTATTACACTGATGTTTGTATGTTAGTGTGTTCTCAGGCACTCATCACCTTGCAGATGTGACTGGGACCGCAAGTTTGAGCGCAATTCTGCTTGCTATTTGTTCAGCATAGTCTGGGCAGGTTCACACCCCTTCAGACGCAGGCATTGTGTTCCGGGCACCCAAATGCAGGCAGAGATGAGGATGGGCAGGAGAGAGTGCCACCGGCTGCTGGCTTGGTGAGAACAGGGACTGGACGCCCCTGGCTACCAGGAAGACACAGAATAAGGGAGAACCGTACTGCCTTGCTGCCAACCTCTAGCCTCAGCTTTTGCCTGTATGGGCAGCTACTTGGAAAAGCTCAGGATGGTCATTCCCCTCCACATCAGCTAATGGCCCACTCGTTTTTCTTCCTTTTACTGCTCCTGTTCACAGCTTCCTCTTCCGGCCAGCACTCAATCCACCTCTCTGACCTATCCTCTGAAGCTCAGGGTTTCGGGGTCTCCTGAATTTTCACTTTTGACACCAAATATGTCAAAGAAGGAAATCTCATACTCTAGTGGAGGCCGTCTCTCCAATTCGCTTATCTGGCTGCCTCCTATTCCTGCTATTCCCTCTCCCAGAGAGTCCTAATGCCCAACAGAAGACCCTGGGTGAAAGAGCCGGCCCATGGTTTAATCCCCAGTTTCCCAAGTGTATACGGTGACAGAATGTTTCTTCAGTTACAGCGTGTCATCATCCTGGAACGCACTTAGGAAACACTACTATAAACCCAAAATCTGGGTCTTAGAGGCATTCATAGCAATGTTGCTGTTGCTCCGTGCTATCAAGTCAATTCCAACTCACAGCGAGTGACCCCACAGAACAGAGTCGCACTGCCCGCAAGGGTTTCCAAGGCTGCAGTCTTTATAGGAGCAGGTCACCAAGTCCTGTCTTCTGCTGAATGTCCAAGGGGTTCCAAACACTGACCTCTGTTAGGAACTAACTGCTGAACCATTGTGCCACCAGAGGTTCTTTTCGTAACAATGTTGTTTTTAGTGCTGTCTCATCAGCTCCAACTCATAGTGATCCTGTGTAGGGTTTCTGAGGAGCAACTGGTAGGATTGAACCACCAACCTTACCAAGGTTAGCAGTCCTCAAGCTTATCCTACAGTGCCACCCCAGGAGACTCCATTAACTAAAGTTCAGTCTGCTTCTCTCAATCAATTCAACTTGCTTAACTAAGTTATACAATAATTAAGTAACACGAAAAATGGGAATGGAAGTGCATTCACAATCTCAGAAAAATTTTGAGGAGACCGAGATACTCTGATCAATGGAAATGCTTTGCAGACAGTACTGTCATCTGCATTAACTGGTAAGTAATGGTAATAAAACTATGATAATTTCTAAGATTGTGTGTCACCTTTTCATGGAAGAAAAACTAACCCTCTCTCTAGTGGCCACAGTCTGTATTTCTAATGGTAAAAAGGGCCGGCTGAGAAACTTCATCTTCACAAGCTTCTTGGTCAAAGCATTTGACAGCACTTAACAACAACACTGTTATGAAAATCAGGTGTCTATTGGTAGTTACTAGGATCATCTTCTTCACATCCAAGTAATTCATGACCTTTACCTTGTTAGTCAATTCAGGTGAGTCTCTGATCTCTAGCTGTGAGTAAAATGTCACTGAACGTCAGTGGTTAAGAAGTCAGCTGCTGACCAAAAGCTGGTGGCTGATGCCACCCACCAGTGGCTCTTCCTCAGCAAAGTTGCACCAGCTGTTTCCATACAGATTCCAGGCTTGGAAACCCTCAGCACAGTTCTAACTCGGTCCCACAGAGTCGCTAGGAGTCTGAATCAACTCAACAGCAGTGGGCTTAGGGGATTCAGGTTGGGGTTGCATTACCGTGGCATAGCAAAGGAGTGTGATTCAACTTCAGAGACGTGTACTAACATTGGTTAAGACCAATAAGCTATGTGAAGAGGGCAGCCACCAAGTAATAGACGTGTGGGAAATGCTAAATTATCAAACTATAACAGAGGTCTAATTTCCTCTGGTCAAATAAAAGCTATATATGGCGTTTATCAGAATAACCAAACAACCAAAAAAATACAAGTTTTATAGCCATTCTCTCACACTTTTTTATTCCAGGCAATATATTTTCATATTTCACTGTATTCACTCAAAGGATAGTTATTGAATGCCTACTCTATGGTTATGAAAATGTTACAGTTAACAAGCAATAAATACAGAACTCTGCCTGCAGTGAATTCAAATATATTTGTAAATATATGAAATATGAGATTCTGAATGTGATTATCACAATGGTACACTACTTTGCTAGCAAAATCATTCCACAGCAATCTACTTAGCAATCAGTGTTCCACCGAATTGAAAACCAATGCATTTCATATCCCAGAAAAGTAAAACCAAAATATAACTGGGCAGATAAAGCTTAGGAACATCATTTGCTCAGAAACATTACAGGTTTTAGTCAGCCAACATGTATTTTATGTTTCATTTATTAGATCACCATCACTGTCAAGGCAAAAGCAGCTGCTACAAGGCCACACACATTTAATGACCGAACTCAAATACCTCAGAGCTTACAGTTACTGTCGCTGTTGTACATACCGATAAAGCCAACCCTGTCAGTACAGGTAAGGCAGCAAGCAGGGCTTGAAATGCTCACACATAGTAAATTGTTGCCTAAAGATCACGTCTCCAGCTTACAGTTACTGTCACTGTTGTACACACCGATAAAGCCAACCCTGTCAGTAAAATTTTATGAGGCGGCAAGCAGAGATCTACACTGTGACCTCCCTCTGAGCTATTTTCAATGACTGAAACTTACGTAGACAGTCTCTCTCAGACAGACACACAGAATCTGACAGGAAATACCTGAGAGGGTCACCTCTGTGGATACCCGGTCGATGGTAAGTACATCATCTGCGCCATCATCACAAGCTTCCACGTAAAATTTTTCAGGTGTGATATGCCTAAGAAGAAATTTCAGAGCAAAAATAAACAATTAAACCAATCGAAATGAAGACTTCTAAAAAAGATATTTATTCTAACAGCAACAGTGTTGACATGCGACAGTATTTCCCAGCATCTGAAGAGATAAAGGTGTGAAGTTTGTCAGCATCAGGTGTACAGTTAGAGGAGTTGTAGTGCACTCCCAAGGATGGCAAAGGTTCAATTTGCTGGAAAACCAATCGACTGACTTTCACAAGCAAATTTAATTTATTATATCCAACAAGGTACAGAAAACAATGCAGCATAGTAATGCTGGGCCTACGATCTAGCTCGCTCCAAACCCTTCAAAAAAAACAAACAAAAAAAAAAACACCGCTTTTATGTTGTTAAAGTAGATTTGAAATAAGGTGCTTATGTAGTAGCTATTCTCAGTGCTTCTCCTTTCCTTTTTCGTTCTACTCCTATCATTCTTGATTTCTAACTTCCAATTTACTAATCCTGGAGTCCTGCTGTGGTACTGTACGATAAGCCCCGAACCACAAGGTCACTGATGCAAACTCACCAGCCAGCTACTCCTCAGAAATCCTATACACGGTCACTTTGAGTTAGAACCAAGTCGGTGGCACTTAACAACAATCACATCATATGGAGTTACAGAAATATGTCCTGTAGTAGAACCGATTATATAGCCCATTGACAGCAAGGCCTTAGAGGAATAAGAAACTCTTCTATCAATTATCCAAATATACTGAGAGAGCTTCAAAAAGTTCAAGGGAAAATTCCATTACCTTTTCATTCCATTTGTCTACAAACTTTGTGAAGCCCGCTCAGACACATATTTTTGATCTAGTTGTGATGAACATCTTAATATTGCTGAGTAGTATTCCATGGTATGAATTATTCCAAAATGTTCACTTGCTGATGAACATTTCAGTTGATTCTAGTTTGGGGCTACTAAAAATAAAGTTTCTTGCACATTCCTGCACAAGTCTTGAGGTGTGTAGGCATGAACACTCATTTCTTTAAAAGTAGACTGGGTGGATCACATGACAAGTGTATGTTTACAGGAAGAAATTACAAACAGGCATGAGGAAAGTTTTAGGGGTGACAGATTTGTTCACTTTCTTGCTTCTGTTGACAGTTTCAAGTGTGTATGTTGTTGTGGTGGTTATGTGCTGTAGAGTCAGTTCTGACTCATAGTGACTCTGTACAGGGTTTCTGAGGCTGTAACTATTTCTCCCATGGAACAGCTGGTAGTTTCGAACTGCTGACTTTGTAGTTCGCAGTCTGATAAACATGTTAAAACTTATTAAATTGGACACTTTAAGTATGTACAGTATATTGTATGTCAATTATATACAATAAAGCTATAAAGAAAATAAAATGAGAAGTTTTGAAACAAAACAAAGACCTTTCAGATAATCTATTCTTTATGGGGTGGTGGTTGTTAAATGCTACAGTAGAGTCAGCTTTATTCATAGTGACCCTATGGTAGGATTTCCAAGGAGTATCTGGTGAGTTTGAACTGTGCACCTTATAGTTAGCAGTCATGTGCTTATCCTACAGCATCAAACCAGGACTCCCAGAACGGCTGTCTTATTGATAAAACAGCCAACACTGCTTCAATGTTAAGTGTCAACAAGGGTTTGTTTTGGTCCCAGTAATGCCAAAGCCACCATCCAAAATCACAGCCAATAAATATGCATTCATCGTATGTAAGCTCCACTATTTATATGGGACATGGAAACCCAACCCTCACAAAACTGATCCTAAATCTAAAATCAAAACAACTACAGCAAATTTAAGAGCATTGCATAGTTGCACTAGAAAAAAAATCTGGAAATCTGCAGTTAAAAAAAAGTGTTCTAATCTTGACTTGGACTCCTTGTGTAGTGCTACAGGATCAGTGCTAGACTGTGAACCACAAGGTCGGCAGTTCAAACCTTCCAACTGTTCCTCGGAAACCCTTTATTGGGTTTCTATGAGTCAGAACCAACTTGCTGACTTACATGAAGTTAATAAAGGTTGGGAAGACAAACTGAGGGGGGAGGGATGGGATGGGGTGTTAGTAGCCAAACTGAACCAGAAAGTTTATTTGTCACATGGACAATATCTAAGCAATTTTATTTTTAAAGAATCCAAATATATCTCCATTCAAATATATTGTTTGAATATATAACTTATGTACAGGAATAGCAACATAACTGCTATAATTTCAAAGAAAACTAGTTGTCGTCGTGGTGTCAGAGAACTATGTTCCACAGGGTTGAGTGGTTATGAGTTGGGCTGCTAACCTCAAAGTAAGCAGTTCGAAACTACCAGCCGTTTCGTGGAGAAACATGAGGCTTTCTGCTCCTGTAAAGATTTACAGCCTCGGAAACCCTAAACAGGGTTGCTGTAAGTCAGAACCAACTCCATGGCCCACCACCACCACGACCAGTGTTTTAAAAGTTGATCACAGAGGCACGGCTTAATGGCAGATTACGGAGAAGTACAGTGAGGACCAACGCCAGCAATTAACACAGAATACCAGATGAAACAGGTTCAGGGGACAGCCCCAGAACTCTGAACTACATATAAAGGAATATTTAGAAGGCTCAAAGGCTTACAGCCAGTGGAATTTGTAGCAGAAGCAAGAAAGATAAGAGTTTTCTGATCTGCAGCTTCCAGCCGCTCCCGGAGTGGCCATCTTGGGCATGAGAAAGTGGGTGAACGGATCAGAGGAGCACTCCAAACAGCAAGGTCAGACTGATCCTCAGAGATAAAGGTATGGACATACTTAGTTTTTTTCTTCTCTGTTCATTGGTCTCTCGCTGTCTGTGCACAAGTACTCTAGTGTCTACAGTCAGTGCCTGAGCGAGTGCATACCACCCCACCCCCAGAGGGTTCTACTACACATGAGCACGGATCTGCTAAGCAAAGACCACTGTGAGCAGAACCTAAGAAGGGGATTAGGAACAGCTTAAAATTGAACGGTC